TTTGGCTCGTTCTATACGCATTTGTTCTTCTCTTTTCGTTATTGTGAACTTTGATTTTGATGTTATCGGCATAGGACGCTAACATAATGCTGAGGGAAATTAAGGTATTATGCACATTTTGTATAGGGATCGTAGACGAGTTTTCCACGATGCCGATATGTGGCATTTGCGATCGTCGCATGCTATCATCCTCATCCACCCAGTTCCATTAACTGTGACTGGAGACCTTTTGTTGTAGTGTAATTTATACGACCCCCGCCTGGGGCATGAAAGTAATAAGAATCCACAGAGCACATGTACTTGTGCAAAAATTCCATGGAAAATGGGGCTGGGTTGATGGTTATATTTAGATGTTAAATTAGACGTTAAGGTAAATTAGGATCTAGTTTACAGTTAAGGGTAGAGTTGGTTAACGGTAGTGCTAGTAAGAGTTAAAATTTAGGGGTAGGATTTGGGTAAGAGGAAGGATATCGTAAAATATCATCTCTCCAGAACCATGCGTAAGGAATCTTTTGTACGTGGGCGTGGCGTTCTTATTCCCGGCTCCTGTTTAGTGGCCATTTAAGTAATCCTTACCGAAATTTTTCCTGAAATGCTTAAAGTGGGTCACGGTGTTAATTCATCCGAAACATTTCCAGTGTCAATGCGTTGACTGATCATGGCATTGAAAAAACTATCAGATCAACTTCGTGAAAAATCCTGAGCACGCAAATCACCATGTCCTTTGCCCGAGGCCGTTTTGGTTCACAAATGCGAAGATGGTGTTGACTTTGACTTTCGTTTACCGACGTATTACCTGCGTTTCGATTGTTTTTGTGGAGTCAAGTTGGCTGCCAGATTTTTAATTTAGACTGATGATGAGAATCTACGCTAAAACATTACTATCACAACGGCCAAAAGGTATCCCCATACTTAGTACACATTTTATCCTTTTATATATATTGGTTATGATAGACAAATGCTACAATCTTCAAGTCTACAAAGTTATTCCTTCTACCGAATACAGACCTGCCAAGAGTTGGTGCTGGTCGTATTTGTAAATTTTGAAAGAAATAGAAAAACACAGGGTATTTTGAACAAAATCCTGCCTCAGTGAACAAATGAATTCCTACAACGGGCAGATGATCGAGGATAACGCTAATCCTCGATTAGGGGACCTTATTGGTGACTTGCACACAGGTTTCCAGATTGCAGTTCACAGCAAAACCGACTTCATTTTTTCAAGCCTCAGGACCGACATTTTATCAATCTATAGACCTACTTCTTTTTTGTGAATACGATCGCAGCTGCTCCGAGCTTGGGGCTGTAAACCAACTTATGTATATCGAAAAACGTCTTTAATTTTACCTCTACCCACTGATTTAATCGCACTTTGCAATCAGTCCGT